ACTTTATACAGCCTCTTCAGACAAGGCTTAGTTAATAAATCTTTTTTTAGTTTGTTTTGTTCTAAATTAAGACTTGTGTAACTTTTGTTATTCTTATTTTTATCATGTTAATGGAGGGAGGAAGAAAAAGTAGTATCGGCTTCAAGAATCGGCCAAAAAATATCGGCTGCAGTGTTGTTTTAGTCACTCTGTATTTATATATATATTTTTCCGTTATTCAAAATACTGTGTTAGATGAGTTTTAATGGTGCAACTTCAAACTAACATGTAATATTATTTTATGCTATTTTAACCGGACTGTACCTGGCTGCAATGCATTTCACAGAAAATGCACATCTGCAGGCAACTACCTCATCTGGAGAGCCCACATAGATTATTCTTTCCCAAGTTCAAGAACGGAGAAGGCACAGCAAATCCTATCAGAACTCCTGAAACCCTACGTTAAGTCTTACCACATTAGTCACTTTTATTATGCCAACTTGATTTCAATAAATCAAAATCATCCATACTTTATTTATATCTCTCTTTATTCAAAGTCATGTCACAAGGGCATGTGATGTGTTGAATGAGAAACTTTTCCTCACAATGTTAAACAAAAATTACAAAAATAAGTGACACTTTACTGTTTCTACAATGCATAGACTGTGTACATTTTAATGTTGTTGATGTTTTCCAGACTGCACTGTGGATTCATCTCCAGTTGTCCCAGAGAAGGCCAGCATCTCCACACCACCTCCTGATGCACGCGTCTTCACTACACGTCCTGATGCACGCATCTTCACTACACGTCCTGATGCCACATCTTCACACCACCCTCTGCACCACATCTGAACTCAGTCCACACCCAGTGGGAGGACCCTTCACAACAGGATCACACATACTTCCACACATCTCGCAGAAAGGACGTGCAGGACAAGATGACTCGGTGTGATGAGGTTGCATATTTGCGACCCATCATATCAAAATGAGGATTAAGTCTAATTTGGTCAAAATGACCTAATTAAATTTTCAGATTCTTGGCTTTAAAAGCTACATTTTGATACCTGGATCATTCTGATATCATAATTAAATCCACATATATGACTTAATTTGTCTTGTTGGTTACAATAATACGTAAATATTTGGTCTGAATCCTAATTTGATGTCATTTTAATGAGGAATTTTTGATGTCCTTTTAAAGAGGAAACCTCAAATTTTTTTGAATATTGAGATTTCCCAGCTAAAAAAAACAAAACTTTGCTAGCTCACAGGGAAAATCTTAAAAATTTAAGGCGTTTTTCCTCAATCAGTTTTTTTGTTGCTACTGTTCAAAATAGTGCTCCCTAATTTTGTTTTATGATTATATTTCAGACAGTTCATTCAACTGATACATTGATAAGGCTTTTATTCATTATATATATGACAAAATGCAATTTTTGTTAACATTTTACTAATCAAAACACTATTTTTGCCTATTTCTCCAT